AATATATTTGTGCAAATGGTAATAAATTCTATTCTATTCTATTCTATTCTATTCTATTCTATTCTATTCTATTCTATTCTATTCTATTCTATTCTATTCTATTCTAGCTTGTCAGCTGTAATAAACGAACTTGTTTGAGAAGAACCTTATGTTCTAATCGATTGTGGTTATTTTACCTGCCTCAGACATCCGTGTGAACTGGGAGACCTACAACTTAGATCCGGATGACAATCAACTGGTGGATGTTTTGGTGTCGTACGGAGAACACTTCCCACTGAAAGATGCTGATGGCCATGAGGTTCACAGAGCGCTGAGGCTTTTCAATCGAACAGCGTGGGAGAGAAGTCACACATCGGCATCCGGTGGACCAAGTTCTTGCCTTCAAAATGTGACTGTGAGTATATTTAACAGCAGAACGCTGAGACACTGACAGAGGACCTCCATTAGATGGTTTGTTGAAGACCACTAAATGGACAAGGTTTTCTTTTTCCACTGACTCAAACTGTAAGGGTTTAGAGAGTGGAAGATTGGACTGACTCACAAAGACATGGAGGGATGTACTAAATACTTTAATAAGCAAAATAAAACAAAGCCAACGTAGTGGTAAAACTTACAAATGAAAGGTGTAAATGAAAGAAGACTGAAGAGTTGAGAAGGATGAGGTAATGACAGGCAGGGGAGCTGAGTGGGAGTGGCAGCAGGTGTGAGTGACTGACTGGAAAAGTACAGAGAAGCTGACAGAGGCAGAGATGAAAAATACAATACTCCTAAAGGGAGCATTAGAAACCAAAACACCAGGATCCTCCYGACACAAACACAGTTTTCTCCTCTTGATTTCAGGATGTGGACAAGGAGCAGCTGGATGAATGTCAGGAGGAGGAGGCAACTTGTTTTTTTTCTCCTGTAAGGAAAAATCTCATCTCGGTCCACATCAGACCTCATCTGGGCCACCTGTCAGATGACCCCTTCAGTGTCACACCAAGTCAAATAGTAAGACGTTACTTGTGTTGCACAGTTTCCACAAGCTTCACGTGGCTAACAGTGCGTTTTACTGACGTGTAAATCTGAAGGTGATTCCAGCAAAGAGCGATGAAAAAATCCAGGTATCTTTCACCCCTCTGACTCCCTCTGCATCTGAAGGCAGCGCTAAATGTGCAGGCTTTGTGYTGGGATTCATGAGCCTGGACTCTGAGGTAGCGTGCTCCCTGCATAATGTTTCACCATTAAATCATAAAGAAAGGAAAAAAACCTGATCTGATTGATGGCTGCATCGTGTGCACTGCAGACGGCTGTTTGTGTCCCAGGTAAAGTCAGAAGAGAACAAGGTTTGGATTTAGAGCCCATCAGGTTGGATCTACAAGCAGCCGTTAAGCATGTCGTGTAAGTAGTTACATTCAGACTCATTTGTGACCTGTCATATCAAAATGAGGATTACCGGTAAGTCAGATTTGATCAAAATTACCTAATCACATTTTCAGATTCCTGGCTTTAAAAACTACATTTTGATACCTGGATCATCCTGATATCATAAGGTTATTCAGAGATGTGACTTAATTTGTCTCGTTGGTTACAATAATACATTAATATTTGGTCTAAATCCTAATTTTATGTAAATTTTATTGAGGTTGTTTTGATGTCATTAAAGAGGACATTTCAAATTGTATTTGTATATTAAGATTTCCCAGTTGGAAAGAAACAAAAACATTTCTATCTCACAGGGAAAAAGGTGTTTTTCCTCAAAATTAGTTTTTTTTTTTTTGTTGCTACTGCTCAAAATAAATACTTCAAAAAATTTAAGGAATATATTTCAGAAAGATCATTCAAATAATACATTGATAATTATATTTTGATAAAAATCTACTTTTGCACACGTTTAAATCAAAACCCTTTATTTTCCTATTTCTCTACATTCCACTTTTGACTTAATCCTCGTTTCGATGTGATGGGTCACATTTATGCACCAATTTATGTCTCCTGAGTTAAAACAAGTTGAGGTTAGAAAGAAGCAGCTCAGGAGTGGCCTGATGAAGTTTCACACAGTGTTGTATAAAGTACCTCAAAGTGATACTTGAGTAAAAGTACAAGTATCTTATCATTAAAATACATTGGTAAAAGTTAAAGTCTTCTTTAAAAATATTACTTGAGTAAAAGTCGTAAAGTATCTGATATTTTCTGTACTTAAGTATCAAAAGTACATTTTTGACACAAAAATCTACTTAAGTATTAAAAGTAAAAGTATTGAGTAAAAGTGAGCAGTTAGATTTTCCAAAATGACATTTATCAGGAGGTGACTTCTCAAAAATATATATTTTTAACAGCATGCAGCTGTGATGGGTTGTGTACAAAGTTATACAATTTTAGAGTGGTATACTTCTCATTCAACCACAATTTAATGTACTCTATCCAGGAGACACAATTTATTAGGATAGTAATTTTTTTAAATAATAACGCGGAATAAAATAGGAGTAACAACTTTCTACTTCTTACCTTTTTTAAAAAAAATGTGAGGAGTAGAAAGTACAGATAATTGTGTAAAAATGTAATGAGTAAAAGTAAAAAGTATGCTGAAAAATAATTACTCAAGTAAACAGATAATCAAAATCTATACTTAAGTACAGTAACAAAGTATTTGTACTTAGTTACTTTACAACTCTGGTTTCACGTCTTCCTCTCGGTTCCCCCGCGCCGCAGGCTGGTGGTGCAGATGGACGAGGACGATGGCGTGTTGGAGTTCAACGCCTCGGCCGGTGATTTACTGCGAGCTAAATCGAACAAGAAGGTCTGTAAATTACTGCAGAGCATACGTGACGCATCGAGGGGCTTCTTGGGCACTCGTTGTGTCTTTTGTGTTTGTATTCTGCAGGTAGCGGCTCATGATTTTGACGTGACGCGGAGTTTACAGCTGATAAACACAGCTGAGACGCCTGTACGCTTCAGACTGGAGACCCAGCCTCCATTTTCAGTGGTTAAGCCTCAGGCTGGTGACGGTCTGGTGCTTCAGCCTCAACGCAACGTGCAGGTGAGACGAGACGCAGTCATGAGTACAGAACTTTTTTTTCTGTCGTTCTTAGCTGTTATTTTTCTGTGAATGCTAGGTGAAACTGGCTTTCCACTGCTCTCTATCGCTTCTGGACCACGTGGACCAGACGGAGGAGGGCGTCTCTCCTGGAGTAAGGCTGATCCATAATGAGAGGGGTCAGAGGATGCTGAAGTTCCAGCAGAACCTCCAGATCCAACACAGCAACAACAGCCTGCAGGTCACATGACTCCACAAATGAGTGGCAACTGTACACTTAAACATATTTAAAAACAGATTATTTTTTCTGTGCAGACCGTGCCTCTGTGCGCCAGTCTGGCTCTGCCCACTCTGAGTCTCTCTGCCGACTCCCTCAGCTTTGGCTTTTGTTACGTTGGAGAAACACAAACCGTAGAAATAAAGCTGTGCAGCCGTGGAGCCCACACCTACTGGAAAACTCTGACAAGTAAACCTCTACAGCTATCAGAAACAGCACCTGTGTTTGTTGAGACTTTTATATAATCCCATCTTTGTGTTTAGAGTCAGACGAAGAAGACCCTCATGTGTTTAGGGTCACACCGGGCTCTGGACTGCTCCGAACCCAGAAGCCTCACWCGACCACCTGTAGTCAAAGTCTGCGGGTCAGCTTCACTCCCAGGTACCTGTCAGTGAAACCAGGCACACATTGAAAACACATGAAGGAGAGGTTCTTCAGCTGTTTGTGTTTGTTTCAGCCAGGACAGAGAGTTCAGGGCCATGGTGGAGTTCCAGTCTCCTCTGGTGAAGACCCCTGTCACTCTGCAGCTCCAGGGAACAGGATCCACCAGGGAGGCGTACCGGACCTCAAACACATCGCTGTGACACTGCAGCCACTAACAAACATGTTGTCATTATTTAAGAAGGTAAAAAAAAAGTTTAACCCTCTTTATTTTTAGATGATCTTTAGATTTTTTTAGGGTCTCTGAAAAATGTTGCCCATTTTCACAAGTTCAGTATTTTATGTATAAAAACATCATTTAAATATCCTGATATTAACTACATTAATAATTTAACTTTAGATCTTTAGGAAACAACATTCATTAGCAGTACTTTCCCAACCATTACCTAATCATTAAGACAACAACGCTGTGATGTCAGAAATAAAACAAATAAAGCTGTGATGACCTTTGATTCAAATTGTTGTATTCCTTGGCAATGAATTGATTAGTTATCAGCAAAGGTTTATAGTAACTACCGTATTTATTCAAGTACAATACGTAAAATTAAATCCATAAAATCATCCATAAAGTTGGGGGGTAGTACTATAATCGGATAAATTTTTGTACTTATGTATTTTAACTGAAATATCGGCTTCATTCACAAAATGCATGAGACCGGAAATGAGACCGCGTCGTAAAAATCAGTTGAAACAAGCTTGCCTCTGACACTCCTTCGTGCTTCAGAGCGAGATTATAACAGATCCAAGCAGGCGACATGATGTGAAAAAAAGGGGGGTGGGGTGTATTCCTGCACCTTAGTAATGATAACGAACTAATGGCATTAGTGTGTGACCAGGTCACTCCTCGAACAACAACAAACACACGTTCATCTGTAATGGCTGCCGTCTACCCGTGTTCTGAAAAAGTTTGTATCCCTGAAAAAAGTTTCCCCACCAGAGGGGGCGCTCACGAGTAGGAAGTAATCTGCTTTTCCCCCACAAGATGGCCCAAATCTCATGTGAAGTCTCTGACTTTTGTGTTGGCGCCTCCTGATGGACAATGTGTAAAATGCCAGAATTCATATGATGCTGCTACAGCTGATATACTGTATATTTGTTGTCAAAATACCTTTTAGTACATATGTTGTTAAAATAAAATGAACAGTCCAATGATCGTTTTACTAATATGTATAAAGACTGCAAAGGCTGAAAAATCTTGCAGTCTGTATGAAATTGGAGGTAGTTTGAGGATTCGATTTTTTATGTTTTTAAGCTCAAAAAAGGGGGGTCGTATTATACATGAGATCGTATTATACACGAATAAATACGGTAAGTACATTTACTTCGTTACAGTACTTAAGTAGTTTTTTGAGGCTTTGTAATTTTACCAGTTTTTATTTTAAACAGCTACTTTAACTTTTATTTCGTTACATTTTAAAGCTAAAATCGATACTTTTACTTCTTTACTTTAAAATGTGACACCTATTTACGTTTTACAAAATTAAATATGTTCAAACTCATCATGAAAGAAGATGTTTCTAAAAATGAAGTGTTGACTTTAGTCATGTGTGGCACCACCAAGCCTAGTTGAGTCAATTGAGCAAAGGGTATACATACAGTATATCACTCCATTTACTCAACCTGGTTTAGTGGAAACAGTTTGGTTCAGTAAATTCAACAGTTTATTTCTAAGAGAGTGTGTAAAAATACTTTTACTTTCCCAATTTCTGTGAACAGTTTTAGGACTTTTACTTGAAAAGTTTTGTCATCAGTGAAATGTGTTTTTACCAAAGTCATTTTCTGTTCATGTAATTTTACTGTTATGTAGTTATCTTTTCCAAGTACTTTATAGACCTCTGGTTATGAGATTTGCAGGCGAAGCAGTGCAACTTTTACAGCATATTGCCTCAGAAGGCGTCAACATTATATCATTTCAGGGTAGTTGATAAAACTACCAGAGGTAAAGATGGATATCAACAAAAAAAAAATAATAATTAAAAATAAAATAAAAACAAGACAAGACAAATGAACCACAAAACATTTCCTGCTCAGTTTAATTTCTATCGCAGCAACTTTTATTAACAAACAAAGCATTTCACATTGAGATAAATCCAGTTTTTTTGGGTTTTTTTTTAGCAAACAGCTGCTGACAGACTGGAGATGAAACTTGAAACTATGTAGATAAACAACAACAATTTGTTTTCAGCTCTGTGCCGTTCCAGCAGCACCGACTCAAACACAAGTCAGCAGGAAGATATAATCCCACTAATCTTATCTAGATTTCACAAAGGTTAAATGAAGAGAAACTAAAACTGGAGGATATGTTTCTACCTGTAGTTTCTGTCAAACATTATAATTGTCCAATTCTAATTAAGAAATGCATTGTTTAGTTTTACTGTATCACTCTAAGATAGGATTATTCATAATATGGACGTGAAGTAAAACTAACTTTTAATATCAACAGAATCTTCATCATCCAAATCTCCTCCAGTATTCCTAGAAAAACGAGTTATTAGAAAACGAACAAGCCTTTCTACGTATTTCAAACTTCTTTTTCCCGTGGAGATCACCGGCCTGCCCCGGGGCCTCTTCGATTTTCCAGAAGCCAGTAGCAGCTGCGCTCCCTCCCCTCCGAGGGATAAATGGATTTTACAAGAAGTCTCATTTAGCCGAGCATAAAGATAAAAGGAGGCGGCTTGAAAGATAAGCACAAAAGAGCCAACGTTTCCCTCCGCACGTTCATCTCACGGGCTTGTTCCAAAGCTGCGGGGAAATCAGAGGTTTTTAATGCCCAAAATGTGCATCTACAGCTGCAGGAGGCCCAGAGGAGCCACAAGAAAACAACAAACTCTTAGCAGCAGATAGGAACACGTACGCTTTATTATTCTACAAAATCCATCTCAGGGTGTTCTGGCTGAAAGCATGCTGGTGGTAGAATAGTGTTCTGTTGTTGGAGGCAGGTAACAAACTGAATATTAATCTTTGTGGCACTCATAAATGTAAAAACAAGCTTTTAGTGCTCCTGATTTACACTGTAAAAAAACTAAACTAAACAATTTATCACCTTACTGACAGTGAAGACATCCTTTACGTCTCCGGAGACTTAAAGATTCTCAGCTGATGAAGCAAAAAATCACTGAGGCTAACACACACACACACACACACACACACACACACACACACACACACACACACACACACACACACACACACACACACGCGCGCGCGAGCTGTTTTGATCGTAACAGCTGCATGTGGCGCTTGTCTCCAGCACAGTTTAGCAGTACAGACATCTGCAATGACTCCAAATCCATAGAGGGATGCAAATGTCCAATTAAAATTCACAGCACTCGAGCAGCCCTAAACAGAGCCAGGGCACGTCTGAGTCTAACAACACAACCGCTGTGTGAAGCTAATATGAAGCGGGTGATGTCAGCTTAGAGCCAGCAGAGTGTTAATTACTCCAATCATCAGGGTCGTGTGGTAAAAGGAGGAGGAAAAACCTGCTTTAAAGGGATCCTGATTAGTTGTAACATTAGACTTTATTTGATAAACATTTATTTTAACTGTAAAATAAAGACTGTAAAAATACTGTAGGATCTTCATTTTTTATCATTTTTAAACTCAAAGTTTAAAAATATAATACACGGACGGAGCCATTTTATTTACACGCAAAGCATTCTGGGTAAATGATGACGTGGATAGGTCCTCGGTGCGAGGCTGCTAGCGAGCTATATCCACCCTGAAGGTTAATCTTGGACAATATCTGATGATTGACTCTTGATATATTGCCTTATATGTATTAGCTCGGCGCTAGCG